GGCTTGCAAGCTTCTTAGGGACGTTCACCAATTTTAAAAATAGTGCTTTATAATTTACTTATTTACCACATCTTGCCTATTTTTTTTAAAACCCAGCATGTTAGCTGCAAAAGAACTGCATGCATACACATCTGCCTGCTGGGAGCAACCTAAGGGGGGAAAAAAAACAGGCTAAATGGAATGTCTTTGTTCATTTCGGGCAGCGTGAAGCATTTTGTTCTTTAAATAGATTCCTGACATCAGTGTCTTTCCCTCTGTGTGGATGCGAAGGTCCAAGCCAGTGGAAGGCTACCCCGTCTCTTGACCAGGGAAACGGAGTCCTCTTTTCCCCCATGGGCTCCAATCCCCCCCTCTCTCTTTACTTCCAGAATAAACCATGATTCAACGTTTCAACTGCAAACCTGCTTTGAAGGACCAAAGACATCTGAAGCCCCACATCTTTCAGGCTGCGCTTCTGACGGGTGGATCTTGCAGCAGAAATTAAATGCCGGGTGGCCAGTGAGAAAGAGAGCAGCACGGGTCCCACAAAAGGCCGTGGCGGCAGAAAAGAATGGACTCTCCTTCGAACTTACTCTGGATGACGCTGAGCCCGAAGAGGTGACAGTCCTTCAGCCGCAGCAGGTCACACACCTGGACAAGCAACTCGTGGCACAATATTTTGACCTGCAAAAGAGGGGTGGGAAAGGGAAGCGATAACATATTTGTGAGTATTTTGCAAGTGATTTTGAGATACAATCACAGAATCATTGCGTCGGAAGGGACTTCTAAGGCCATCGAATCCAATCCCCTACTCAAGGCAGGAAAAGAATGGACTCTCCTTCGAACTTACTCTGGATGACGCTGAGCCCGAAGAGGTGACAGTCCTTCAGCCGCAGCAGGTCACACACCTGGACAAGCAACTCGTGGCACAATATTTTGACCTGCAAAAGAGGGGTGGGAAAGGGAAGCGATAACATATTTGTGAGTATTTTGCAAGCGATTTTGAGATACAATCACAGAATCACTGCGTTGGAAGGGACTTATAAGGCCATGGAGTCCAATCCCCTACTCAAGGCAGGAATCTAAATTAAACTGGAACTGACAGAGGGCTGCCCCATTTTCTCTGGTTCCATTGTCATACTGCTCTTAAGACGTTTTACCTGAGATTCAGCCTAAATCTGGCTTCCTGTAACTTGAGCCCCTTGTTTTGTGTCCTGCACTCTGGAATGATTGAGAACAGATCCTGCCCCTCCTCTGGATGACAGCCTTTCAAATATTTGAAAAGTGTTATCATATCATCCAGATAGAAGGGGAAGATATGGAGGCAGTGACAGAGTTTACTTTCTTGGGCTCCATGATCACTGCAGATGGTGATAGCAGCCACGGAATTAAAAGACGCCTGCTTCTTGGGAGGAAAGTGATAACAAACGTAGACAGCATCTTAAAAAGCAGAGACATCACCTTGCCGATAAAGTTCTGCATAGTCAAAGCTATGGTCTTTCCAATAGCGATGTATGGAAGCAAGAGCTGGACCATAAAGGTTGACCGCCGAAAAATTGAAGCTTTTGAATTGTGGTGCTGGAGGAGGCTCTCGAGAGTCCCCTGGACTGCAAGGAGAACAAAACTATCCGTTCTGAAGGAAATCAACCCTGAGTGTTCACTGGAAGGACAGATTCTGAAGCTGAGTCTCCAATCCTTTGGCCATCTCATGAGAAGACTCCCTGAAAAAGACCCTGTTGTTGGGAAAGTGTGAAGGCAAGAGGAGAAGGGGACGACAGAGGACGAGACGGAGGGACAGTGTCATCGAAGCAACCAACATGACTTTGACCCAACTCCGGGAGGCAGTGGAAGACAGGTGGGCTCTGGTCCATGGGGTCCATGGGGTCACAAAGAGTCGGACATAACTTAACAACTAAACAACAACAAATATTATCTCCCCTCAGTCTTCTTTTCTCAAGGATAAACTTGCCAAGTTTTTTCAGTTGTTCTGGGCTTTGTGGATTGTGCACTGAGGTGTTCCATCAGCCTACACACTATTCTGATTTTTCAGGAGGCACCCAGAAGAAAAAGACCATCTCTAGAAGGACTGTAAATTCCATTTGCCCAATGAACGGGTCCTTTGGCCTGCATCAGGAGTTGACCGCACCTAGGGCCTTATGACCTGCGTACGACGCCCTCCAGTTTCGTTCTCTCCTCCTGCTGAATTTCAGCCGCCCGCTGGCAAAAGGAACACCCTCACCTTGCCTTTCCCTTCAAACCAGGGTCCAGAAATCTGTCAGTGTGATGGCAGATCCAGGAGCACAGACGCTGGTCTTTGTGTGGCCTGGTCTTTGGAGCGCTGCTCGCCCACCACGTCCTACGTGAATCACAGGATCGTCCAGTTTCGTTCTCTCCTCCTGCTGAATTTCAGCCGCCCGCTGGCAAAAGGAACACCCTCACCTTGCCTTTCCCTTCAAACCAGGGTCCAGAAATCTGTCAGTGTGATGGCAGATCCAGGAGCACAGACGCTGGTCTTTGTGTGGCCTGGTCTTTGGAGCGCTGCTCGCCCACCACGTCCTACGTGAATCACAGGATCGTAGAAAAGTCTGGTCTTTGGAGCGCTGCTCGCCCACCACATCCTACGTGAATCACAGAATCCTAGAAAAGTAAACTTGGAAGGAGCCTACAAGGATATCAAGTCCAACCTCCTGCTCGAGGCTGGATTACCACTAACGCATATCTGCTTAAGCACATTCGTGGGTTCCGATCCACTGTATTCCCGCTCAGCCAGTGTGCCCACCCCTAGCCAGAATCTTTTTCTCCATGCTTTAGTAATGGCACCAAAGATTGCCTAAATCCATCCTTTTTCAAGCAGTGTGATTAACACCTCTCCCCAAAGAGTCACATCAGGATTTTGGGTGAGAGCGATATGTAGAGTTTGCAAAACAGTGGTGCCTCGCTTGACGATGTTAATTCATTCCAGCGAAATCGCTGTAGAGCAAAAATATCGTCAAACAAAACGGAAAAAAAACCATTGAAAACCGTTCAATGCGTTCCAATGGGCTGAATGCCTGCTTGTCCAGCGAAGATCCTCCATATGGCGGCCATTTTCGGTGCCTGTAAAGCGAGGAATCCATCCTAGAAAACAGCAGGGGGCTATTTTCTTCAGCTGGTGGCCATTTTGAAACCCGAAGATCAGCTGTTTGCTGATCGTCGTAAAGCGAAAATCGGTTCCCAAAGCAGGGAACCAATCATCGTTAAATGAAAAAAACCATTTAAAACATCGTTTTGCAATCACAAAAACCTAATCGTATAGCGATTTCCTCGTTTAGCGAGGCAATCGTTAAGCAAGGCGCCACTGTATTGTTGTTGTTTAGTCGTTTAGTCGTGTCTGACTCTTTGTGATCCCATGGACCAGAGCACGCCAGGCCCTCCTGTCTTCCACTGCCTCCTGGAATTTGGCCAAATTCATGCAATATATCCAATATTAAACATTTTTATTTCGACCAAGGGACAAGAAAGGCAGTTATTGACTTATTCCTTTCCAAAGGGTAGAAATGAAGGGTTAGAAGTAATGTGTTAAAAGTGTTACCTTTGCATCAGACAGGAGGCATGTATCTAATTTTTGTAAAAAAAAGTAACATTTTCAAAATGACATTATTGTCAATATATGCTTTAAAAAAAGAGTTGAAAGCAACATTTTAAGCGTCTCTTGACAATATTACTCTTAATTCATTATTCCTTAAATGTCTCGGTTGTCTTCCTATAAAGTCACAGCTTTAACATTAACACAGAATGATAGAATGACTTAAGTGGGAAAGGGGCCTATAAGGCAGAAATCAAAGTAGATCTCATAGATGGGTATATAATTTTCTTTTTCTTGACTGCCTCCAGTGTTGGAGCCCTCACCAACTCCTGAGGGCGCGGGTTCCATTGTCGTACTGCTCTAACAGTTAAGGAAGTTTTTCCTCATATTGAACCAAAATATGGCTTCCTTTGAGCCCGTTGTTACGTGTCCTGCACTCTGGGATGATCGAGACAGATCCTGCCCCTCCTCTGGATGACAGCCTTTCAAATGTTTGAAAAGTTCTATCATATCACCCTTCAGCCTTCCTTTCTCAAGGCTAAACAGGCCCAGTGATTTCAGCCTTTCCTCCTAAGGCTTGGTTTCCAGCCCCCTGATCATCATCCTTGTCACCCTCCTCTGAACTTGTTCCAATCTGTCAGCATCCTTCTTGAAGTGTGGTGTCCAGAAGTGGACACAGTACTCCAGATGACACCTAACTGGTGCTGCATAGAGGAGGGCTAGCACCTTGCGGGATCTGGAGACTATACATCTACAGTATTAATGCAGCCTAAAATAGCACTGGCCTTTTTTGCAGCCACATCACACTGTTGGCTCACATTCAGCATGTGATCTAAAACAATTCTCTTACTCACTTGCAGTATTAGTGAGCCAAGCTTCGTCCATCTCGTAACTGTGCATTTTCTCTCTCTCCTAGGTGTAGAACTTCGCACTTATCCCTGTTAAATCTCATTTTGTTGTTTTCAGCCCAGTGCTCAAGCCTATCTAGATATTTTTGAATTTTGTTTCTCTCTTTGGGTATTAACTATTGCGCCCAATTTTGTGCCATCCGCAAATTTGACAAGGATTCCTTCCACTCCATCATCCAAGTCATTAATAAAAATGTTGAAGAGTATTGGGCCCAGGATTGAGCCTTGGGGTACCCCACTTGTTACTTCCTCCCAGTTAGAGAGGGAGCTAATCATGGGGCACTCTGCCAAAGGTTTTGCTGAAGTCAAGATATATTATGTCTGAAGCATCCCCACAATCTCTAAGGGAGGTTACTAACCCTTTTTAATCCAATGGGAATGGCAGATAAAGGGAGGAAGAGAGGAGAAGGATCCCACCACAATAACAATAGGAAGCCAAAGATTAGGAACGCCTTCACCCACCAAGTTCTACACAGATCACCCGCGCGAGCCAGGAGGTGAGGCTGAGGAGCCTGACGCCGAGGGAGGCCCGGAGGGAGAAGACACGAAACCGGGCCTTCTCGGCGGTGGCTCCTCGCCTTTGGAACAATCTCCCTCCTGAGATTCGCGCGGCCCCTACGCTGGGTACATTTAAAACTCAACTAAAAACATGGCTCTATGTTAAGGCCTTCCCTCCTGCCAGCATTTAATCTAATTTAATTTACCTTTCTTTCCTTATCTATTATTTATGATTTATGTTATGTTTTGTTAATTGATATTTTGGATTTATGTTACTATAATTGTATATATGTTGCTGTTAGCCGCTCAGAGTGGTATAGATTTATCAGATGGGCGGGATATAAATCAAATAAATCAGTGTTCCCCAACGTTTTTCGGACCGCGGACCGGTTGGGGGGTGGGGGCACCCCCGCACTCATGGCTGAGCATGTCGCGCTTGTGCGCATGTGTGACACGCCCCTTGCGCTCATGCGTGATACACCCACCTCTTGCCTGAGCCCGGCTTCACCATGGCGCCCGTAGTTCCTCTTACACAGGCGCATGCACAAATGGGAGGGGGAGCCCTATTAGTCCCTGTAGAGATGGAGCAGTGTGACCCCGACTTGTCCTGGCTGCTGTATTCCTTCGTGTAGGGGCATCTATAGCAGAGTGATGGGAAACCCTTCCCCATTCTTCGCCTTGAATGCAGGGCTCCGCTGGAGCGACAATGGGGTGGGCAAGGGAGGCAAAGCCGGGGTGTGTGTGTGTCGGGAAATGAGGAAGCAGGCAGGGGCTCAGGCACCGACCTCCATGGGCTCGGAGGACTCCTCTTCCTCCTGCTCAAACTCTTTGTCTGGGCTGAAGCTGAGCTTGCCCAGGCCTTCCTCGTTCGGTTCCCACGGACCCGCTCGTTGTAGTGAGAAGGTGATGGTGGGCGAGGTGGCCCAGGAGCACGCCAGCTCCAGCCTCACCCTGCCAGGGCCACCCCAGGCTGTGCTCTTTGGGCCGCCCAGAAGTGACGCGCCCGCTCCCTCAGGTGAAAATCCGGCCCCTGCGTACACCGCATTGCCCAGCAACAAGGGAGGGCACGCCGCCGGGCCTGCTGGGAGATGGAGTCTGTGTGCCTCGCTGTGGTCCGTGGGAACTGTAGTTCGCCCAGTCAGACTCTTCTCCCCCCCGAGGTCATCACCCTCCGCTCTGGCTCCAGCCTGCTCCTGGCCGCTGGAGAAGGCTACCGGCCTGGGCTTCACCAGGACCAGTAGGTTGACCACCAGCTGCCCCTTCCATCTTGATCACAGAGATCTGGTGGCGGCGGTCATGAGCCTGGACTCCCTGCCTTCCCTGCAACCAGCGGCGGCTCAACTCCTCGTGGCTGGGGGCCAAGCAGTGTGGAAGGGAGCAGCGGCTGCCGCCAGGCAACCACAAGGAGCTGAGCCGCCGCTGGTTGCAGGGAAGGCGAGGAGTCCAGGCTGCCACCGCCAGATCTCTTTGATCAAGGGGAAAGGGGGTGCAGAAATTGAGGTAGCAGGCGGCAGAGGCTGGCCTGGCTGGTCTGCAACACCCGCTGGTGCTCCAGGGCAGCCACCTCGGTGGCTTACTCAGCCAAGAAGGCACGGAAGCCCTCGTCCGGAAAGGCCTGGCTCAGGCGCTCCGCCCGTCAGCTTGAGGTCCTCCAGGGTCGAGCGGGCCGCCATGGTGAAGCCGCCTCCCTTCTGCTCAAGGCTGGGCTCACCCAAGAGGTGGGTGTGTCACGCATAAGCATGAGGGGGCATGTCACACTCACGCACATGCGCACAAGCTCGAAATACCCACCAGCAAGCGCGACACACACACACACCCCAGTGTGGGCGGGTGGGGGGGCGGTGATCTCTGTCCGCGGCCCAGTCCAAGGCAGCTCAGGGACCGGCACCGGGCCGCGGACCGGGGGTTGGGGACCCCTGAAATAAATAAATAAATAAATTAAAAGACTTCCACAACTTAGTGCCTTCCAGACGTAATGTACTATAACCCGCAGCATCCCCAGCCACCATAGCCAGTCTCTAAGAAAATAACAGACCATCGGTTTATTGGCAAAAACTATCTGGTGGAGGCTGACTGCCAAAGAAGGCTGACCGCCGAAGAATTGATGCTTTTGAATTGTGGTGCTGAAGGAGGCTCTTGAGAGTCCCCTGGACTGCAAAGAGAACAAAATTATCCATTCTGAAGGAAATCAACCCTGAGCGCTCACTGGAAGGACAGATCCGGAAGCTGAGGCTCCAAACCTTTGGCCATCTCATGAGAAGAGAAGACTCCCTGGAAAAGACCCTGATGTCGGGAAAGTGTGAAGGCAAGAGGAGAAGGGGATGACAGAGGATGAGATGGTTGGACAGGGTCATCGAAGCGACCAACATGACTTTGACCCAACTCTGGGAGGCAACGGAAGATAGAAGGGCCTGGCATGCTCTGGTCCATGGCGTCACGAAGAGTCGGACACGACTTAACGACTAAACAACAACAATCTGGTGTAGGAAGAGCACATTTTAGACAGCATCAAGCCAACCAACCAACCTTAAATACGTACAAGCTATTTTCCAACATTGGAGACCAATAATTTTCAGATGAGCAACAGAGGCAAAAGCTTTCAAAGAAAATGCCACGGAAGACAAGAGGCTCAAGAATCCATCAAATAAATGCACTGTGGAAAAAGCCGTTCCAAACGAGGCCCAGATTTGACAATCCAGTTCACACATCTTTACAAGCAAAGCTCCTATCCAAGCATGAACTGACCTTGCTTTACATTTTGCAAACTAACTGACTTTTGTATAAGATTGGACACCAGAAGGCAAAAACACACTTCATTTGAAATTCTGAAAGAATTGCGTGCCTGGAGGGGAAAACAGGAATAGCAAGAAATCCGGATCTCCCTTACTGTCCTATTTGAACTTAAGATTCTGCATTCAGAGAAGACAGCAGGGTTAAGAGGAAACGGGCTTCCTAACTGTCAGACAGAAGACGTCCAAGCTGGTAGATCTGGCAGGCCCAGTAATTTTGAGATGGAATTCTTTTCCTCAGAGTTAACCCTTTTATAAAGCATTATACAGACTGGTTTCAAACTGGACTGGAAAACACTGGGATGGGGTGGGGAGGCAGGTGATGAAAAGGGCTTGTTTTACTCAGTTACTTGCTCAGCATCCTGGCTGCTATTCTCTCCGAAGGTGATAGAGCATTTTTTTTCCTTCTCCATGAGAAAATCAGAAAGGAGGAGGAAATTTTAAGTTTCTAGTCCTTAAGAGTTGGGGAAGGTCAGTATCCCAGAGACTAGACACCCAAACGGCAACTGACAAAAGGCAGGGTTGCAAGATAAACGACCCACCCCACAAGGATCAAGAAAATGCCCAGATTTGAAAGTCTGTTTCTCAAGGTAAGGTAAAGGTTCCCCTTGACAATTTTTGTCCAGTTGTGTTTGACTCTAGGGGGCGGTGCTCATCCCCGTCTCTGAGCCGTAGAGCCAGCGTTTGTCCGCAGACAGTTTCCATGGTCACGTGGCCAGTGCGACTAGACATGGAACACTGTGGGCTTCCCACCAAGGTGGTCCCTATTTATCTACTCGCATTTTTACATGCTTTCGAACGGCTAGGTTGGCAGGAGCTGGGACGAGTGACGGGAGCTCCCTCCGTCTCGTGGATTCGATCTTATGACGGTCGGTCCTCCGACCTTGCAGCACAGAGCTTTAACCTGCAGCGCCACCACGTCCCTGAAAGTCTTTTTTTTTATCAAAGTTCTCAAAAAAGAGAGAAATAAATTAAAAAAAAATAAAAGAAGAATAAGCAGGCAGGACACAAAAATATCCCTGTTTCTTACAATCCAGAGAGGAAGATGGTTATGCCATTGGTGCCCAGATACTCACATTTATGATGATGTTGAGGGAATCATCGTTGGGGAGGAAAATACAGACACTGCGTCGGTCCTGCATGACTCTGTTATTGTGGAAGTTCAGTCTGTTCATCGTGTTCCGGGCCCTCCCTGTGGATCCGTTTGTGACGGCACTTCAGGGATTGAGCCCAGCAGCTCCCTCTCGTCACCCGAGGCACAGCTGGCAGGCCATCCTGGCATTGCTCCCTGCCGGTACCATCGCTGCGAGGAATGAGAAGAAGGGAGGTTAGGATGTGATGGACCCAAGGGTAACCTGGCCGCTGTCCTCCTGCCAAAACTGGTGGTGGTGGTGATGGTGATGATGGTGTCAATGCCAAGGACGATTGGCAGCGTGGTGCTATGGTTAAGAGTGCCCAACGAGGACGTGGGTAACCTCCGTTCAAATCTCTGCTCTAATGCTCCTCTATCCCTTGATTTCAAGAAGAAAAGATCGGGATAAGGGGCAGAGTAGGGCTCATCCCACTGCTTGGAAAATAATACTGAGGACTACAAACTTCAAAATCCATTAGTGGGGGGTTCGGAGCCAGAGCACACACACACACACCCGGAACTGCCACTCTGAGAGGATGCCAAGAGATAAACTGTAGCGATGTTTGGGCAGAAAAGACATTTATTTATTCACTGAAATTGCTTCAGGTGGCTCATTCAAGTGAGCCAAGTTGCATTCTTCCGGGGAATCAGATCATCCGAACCTGAGTCAACTCCACCACTTGCATTTTAACCCCTGCCTCCCTGCGATGACACCAGATTGCCTTTTATGCACACCACTAGGATACTGGTCAAACAAAGGCATCCGTTCACCGCAACATGAAACGTTATCTTCAGTGCCCAGTGGGAAAAAGTTTTGCGTAAATATATTTACTTAAGTCAAAGTTCTTTCCTGTGGCACAGCCCCTCTCTACCAATTAATCTAAATCTACGTAACATGAACGCAAATGCCATGGGGGAAAAAGGGGAACCCAATAAAAAGAGAACACAGCAAAAGTATCTACAAGGAGTCCAGGGATCACTTTAAAGCCTAATGCACCTCCTGATTTGATGTGCGTGCCGACTTTTGATCCGATGCGCCTATCTGAGTGTGGCTTCCAGCCTGCAAATGAGGAAGCCATGGTTTGATTCGTGCGTCATTAAAAGAGCCACAAGAACCTTTACTACGACAGGCATAACGCAGCTACCCTTTGAGAATTTATCACAATAAAGGGCTTAAATTTTTTTTGGTCACACTTCAACATCGCCATTTGGGTTAGAATTCTGCTAAGTGAGATTCTCCTCTTTCCTTGACTAGGATATATCTGCATTTTCTTCCATCTTTCCCAGGCATGAGTTTAAGAGGCACAAGTGAGCATCTGGTAAATATTACTTTGAGGGACTACTGTGTTTCCCACAATCCCCTGATCAGCATTACCACTAGCCATCCTGGCTTGAGGAATATGGGTATTGTGATTTCCCACCCCCCCAAAAAAGCAGCTTTTCCAATTTCTAGTCTGAACATGCCCCACAAAGCTGACTGTGTGAACCAGGGTGGTCCAAATGATTGGGACGGGCTATTTTGGACAATATTTATTCCTCTGAACTCAAAAGTGTTAAAACAAAATTCAATCAGGGCTATTTTGGACAATATTTATTCCTCTGTCTCATTTATAGGCTACCTTTCTCCCAAACAAGAGGACTCAAAAGTGTTAAAACCAAAATTCAATCAAAAACACAATACAGTGGTGTCTCGCTTAACGACTGCCCCACATTATGACGAATCCACTTTACGACGATCTTTTTGCGATCGCAAAACGATGGTCTAAATGGGGGAATTTCACTTAGCGACGATTGGTTCCCTGCTTCGGGAACCGATTTTCGCTTTTTGACGATCAAAAACTGCTGATCGTTGGGGTTTCAAAATGGCTGCTAGGTGCTTAAAATGGCTCCCTGCTGTGCTTAGGGACAGATTCCTCGCTATACAGGCAGTGAAAATGGCCACCGTATGGAGGATCTTCGCTGGACGGTGAGCTTTTACTCAACTGGAACACACTGAACGGGTTTCAATGAGTTTCAATGGGGTTTTCTTATTTCGTTTACGATGTTTTCACTTAACGGCGATTTTCTGGAACAGATTATCATCGTTAAGCGAGGCACCACTGTAGATTATACATTTAAAACAATTAAACTACATTATCGTCGTTAAGCGAGGCACCACTATAGATTATACATTTTAGTTTACAATTAAACTATAATAGTCATTAAAATACACCAAATGATTGAAAACATTTTTTAAAAAGGAAAGTGTTCAGCTAAAAAAAACAGCATTCATGGACTCCATGATGGTTATGATGATGCCTGAAGAGGTGGGTCCTCAGTTGTCAGCAGAAGGATCAGAGGGCGGGTGGCCAGTGCGATCTCCTGAGGGAGAGCATCATCACAACCAGGGAGCTGCCACAGAGAAGGCCCTCTCTCGTGTTCCCATCAACCGTACCTGTGCTGGCAATGGGGACCAAGGGAAGGGCCTCCTCTGATGAAGGCTTGTATAGGGAGATATGGTTCTGGATCCAACCCATATAAGACTTTCTGGTTATCACCAGGATTTTGAACAGGGCCTGAGACTTGTAAGCAGGATGGTTGTTTTGTCATGCGCTCCTTATAAACTGGTCCTTGTCTGGCAACCAGCTGAAGGTCCTGAACTAAGATACGAATCTTTTCAAGAGAGAGAAAAATCTGTCCGTTTATACTGTACCCTTACAACGTTACATGGGGGGGGGACCCACAAGACGGGACCCCCTGCTTGCAAGGAATACAGCCTGAAACAGACCATGGAGGAAACAACAGAGTCCGGAGACAATGGAAGAAAAGGCTGTTCTGTGCACTTAAACTGGGTTAAAGTCTGGAATGAAAACTGGGGGGATAAAACCACTACAAATAATAATATGGGTTTGGGTTCCGTAGATGTAAGTTTGTTTGATTTTGTTTTGTTCCTTCTGAGTACAAAGGGGAGGGAGAGAGAGGAAATGTTTTTTCACTACAACTCCCAGGATCCCACAGTCCTGGGAGATTCCTGGAATTGTACTCCAAAAAAACCGAAATGTTTCCCCAGCTTCAGCAAAGGAGGAGAGAGAGGCTGAAATGGCGTCCATCGACACTGCCGTTCTTTGTTCATTGTGACTGGCTGTGTTGAGCCCCTCCGACCACAAAGAAGGGATCCATCCGGTGTCGATTCTAAGGGCCTTTGACGAAGAGGCTGTCATTACACTGAGTGCCCTTTGGGTTGAGAAACTTCAAAACCCATCCCAACTTCCAAAAAGAAGCAGACAGTGGGCATCACACATTCGGCTTTACATCGGCAGAGGAAAAGGAGCAGATTCTGCCCTTCTTTTAGATGGCAGACAAAGGATGCCCATTAAAAAATTATAATCTCCCACATTAAAAACAAATCACCACTGAATCCTCTCGAATTTCTGCAATGCTAACTATTTATCTGCATAAATAAATATCCATGTATTTATTTATTTAGCTTACATGCCACCGTTCTTCCAGAATTCACACCCAATTCTGCAGTTCATTGCAGGAACAAGCCACTGAGACTATTTTATAAAATATTTTTATGCTTTTCTCCTTAAAAAAAGGACCCCAGGCGGCTCACGCCATTAAAAGAGAGCACCGAAAGCTAAAAATAATGGTGATACAAATACTAACAAAGATTAAGCAAACACCAGATTAAAAAACATAAACGGCGCCAAAATAAATTCAAAGCAGTGAGGCACAACATTTACATTCCCCTCCCCTTTTCAGGGAGTCAGTGACTCAGAGAAAGGCTGCCTACCCTCCATCGGTCCTTCCTCTGATCAAGGAAACAATAACAACACAAGGTAAAATTAATGGCTGTAATCCTATTGCGTAGCTCTGCCTGCAGAGGCCGGAAGTCTTCCATTCGCTATTTCAGGACGTGCGTGGCCTGCAGACAATGCCATAGAACCGCATGGCACCCTACCACTGCAAAAGGAGGATTTCAATCGTCTGCGGCCAGCGGCATGGATCCTGTTGCGCTAGCAAACCCAACCGAGCATAATTTAGGCCCCCTTTTTTAAAAAAAATGTGCCAAGGGCTTGCTAGCAAGAGGGAGAAGCAGATTGGTGCCAAAAAAAAGAAGAGAGAGAGGTCTTTTTCTGAAGAACCGCAGCCTGGCAGGGGTTGAAGGTGCTGGTGGGGTGCTTAACCCTCTCTACCACCTGCAACTCTCCCTCCCTGGGAGTGGGTGGGCACCCCACAGCTGCTTTCCCCTTGCTAGTACTCCAGGCACCTGTTTGCCAGTTTTTTTGGGGGGGAAAGGCTCAAAGGAAATCAAGGCAGTTGATGCGCAGGGTTTAAGTCATTTTTAAAGCATCCTCCCCTGCCACTTTACAGCTGTTTGACAGAGTCTTGGCTTCCCCAGACACTACATTGGAAAATGGAGCTCAGGCCTCGGGCTCAACGCTTGACTGTCACACGGGTTTTATTTTACGTACACCTCTCTCTGCCATTCTCTGTGTGTGGTATCTTAGGGGGACATCAGAACTGATTGCACGCCATCGGCTGGACTTCATAGCAAAGGATCACATTCAATCCTGAACAGAAGCAGCACATTAAAAAAAAATAGTGTTGGCAAACATTTTGGAGCCTCCACATCGAAACCAGTTCCTACCCTTTTCAGGCTGATTTTCCGCGTTGCCTGCAGGTCTCTGCCATACAAAGGGGAGACGCTGCCTTTTTCTTTTCATCTCTCAGTGTTTCCTACCTGCCCTCACCAAAGCGACTAAAGCACTTTTCGCTAAATGTTTAGGAGGAATATCCTGACAGGAAGAGCTGTTCCACAGCAGAATGGGTGGCGGGCTCTCGTTTCATAGAATCACAGAATCGTGAAGTTGGAAGGAGCTGGTGAGGTCATCAAGTCCAACTCCCTGCTCGGTGCAGGAACACGAATCAAAGAGATTTTTATTTGCTGGAGATGGGTTAAACAAAGGCTAGAATCACCATCTGTTATGGATGCAGAAAAGTGTGGATGTCCTGCTCGGGGGTGGGGTTGGACTAGATGACCTTCTGGATCCCTAGGATTCTGTTATTTCATACCTGGACCTTTGAACCTGCTTCAAGTGGCGCAAAAAAAGAGGAAACAAATATCCAAGACACTGATGGCCCTGCCCAGACAATCAGATATCTTTTTCAGCACTTCAGGGAA